GTAGTAGTTCAGATTCTATTTACAAATAAGATTTCGTCTATTCACACTAGAACTGTTAATTTAAATAGACTTAGAATGTCTTCACAGGCTCTATGAACAAATTTATGTTTGCCAAGCATGCCTGTCCTTAGCCTAACTCGAAGATGACAAGAATGCTTAGAGACTTACACTCGTTCCAAGAGTATGCATATGTACTTGCGCTGGATAGGTATGTATAGGCTTATGCTTCCAAATTCTCATAACTACTTCAGGAATACAAACTACTGACGACTTTTACATGGACCAAGAGCTGAAACAGGCAGCGCAGCTCCTCCAAACTGTCGGCATTTCAGACTGGTTAATGGTAAAGCCTTTATTTCATAGTTTCACATGTTTTGACAAATTTATGTGATCTTAGGTCGCATTGAGCGATGTGCTGATTTGAGGTTTAAATTACCATGACCACCAAGGTCGAAAAGTGTATCCTAGAATGGCAAGTTTGCCTATCAATAGGCTGAAAAGCAGTTTCTCTTTCCTATTCGTCTCAATCACTTTTTACCTGACTGAATTGAAAATCGGAGAGTGTGAGTTAATGGGCAAAACTGTATCACCACCTCCTATAAATTCAGCGAATGTGAAAAATGGGGCAACCCGGACATCTACAGCTTCTTATTCTTCGAGAAATGGAATAAGTTTCGATGATTAAAGCTCGTATTATCCATTATCTTATCTGGTGTTAGTATATGTCTAGGATAAGCGGATTATAAAACTATCGCTAGATCTTATAAATGTGATATGGAAGAGACCTTTCTTGTCTTGAAAGTTACACATATTCCACAACACAACGGTACCCCTGACTGTGTTTGGGCTGGAAAAACTGACTCCAACTCCGGTCGGAGGGACTCTGAGACGCTGACTGAGTTCTTGGTCCAGTCAAGCTCAAAAGAGAAATCCTTTTTGGAGGAAAGTTTAACTAAAATTCAGTGGCGTCACATGGCCTACTACTCATTTTATCATAAGAAACTTCATTACTATTCATACAACGCATAAAGCGACCTTAAGTGACTCATTTAGTAATAATTTACTAATATCCTCGACTTTGATTATTAAAAACGTTTACTTTTTTACTTTTCGCAGAAAGTTTATCAACTCTATCGGACTAGCGTCTGATAGTATGTAAGCTTTGTGAACATATAAATAAATAACACTATATAATACACTAGTCTATCTAGTACATAGCACACTATTATATATTGTCTTCTTTTAATTATGATATCAATTATTTACACCAGTTTTAAGAGTAGTAGTAGTATTATAGTAGTATATATTATATATGTAATTATATTATTACTATTATTATTATTATTGCATATTGTATTAGTTGTTAGGGCATATTTTGTAAAAAAGTTTTGCGTGTCTCTAAAAGGCAAAATAATAAGGAAGGCATCACACCTATCTTTTATCTACTCATGCAAATCTACATGCAAACCAGCTTCTGGACCAGTTGTCAGGGTGCCATCATCTGAACGAGTGGACAACCCGGGCTCATGGGGCTTTGGTCAAGCGTTTGTACACTCCCGAAGGTGAAGCAATCCACGAAATGAAGGATTTGGAGAACGGCGCAAAGGTATACGCATCGCACGGTGAAGCCTGGATTGACACATCAGGTATGCTTTTCTTGTTTCAAAAAGCTCACTTCGTCTTCGTCCTCGTAATTATGCGACAATCTCTGTATTGTTTCCAATCCTTTGTGACTATGCCCTATTTAGCCGTTTATGTGGATAATATTTAGGCTCTGGCACATTTGCCCGTCTGTCGGCTCTACCACACAGGCTTGACTCGACGTTTCACATGCGCTACACGATGTCTCTATACCGGAACACGCATACTCACAGTCATTTGTCAGGCTTGTCAAGTTGGCCAGAGCTACGAAGCGGCCAAAGAAATGTCTAGACTATGCAAAATAATACTTTGAAGAGCCACTTTTGTCATCCGCAGGACTGCTTCAACACAAAGACTGTAGGCATTCTCCTTAAAATGGGCTCGCCCAGGTGCCTCAGGCTTCGGGCCTT